CAATGATATAAAAATCATTGCATAATAATATAATAAAAAAAATAAATACTTGATTTTGATTATTTACGCAATCCTTTTCTTTAATAAATGTTTTTCAATATTTTTATGTAATAAAAAAATAAAATTAATCCAATTACATTAAAACTTTAGAAAATAATTATCTATTATTTCTTTAATCACTACAGTCAAAGCTCGTTATAGTGAATCTTGTTATAGTAAAATCACGTTATAGTGAATTATTTTTAATTCACCAAATCAATTTTTTATAATAAATTTCTCTCGATATAGTGAACTCTTAATAAAATCTTATTATAGTGAACAAAAATGATTAGAACTAAGAGTTCACTATAAAGAGCTTTGACTGTATTAGGTTTAATATATTATTTATATAAATTAGCATAATATCAACTAACTTTTTGCATACATCTAACTCCAAATTTTTTGAATTACATCTTATAACTAATCCTATATTCTAACAGGTATTTTAAGCTATCTTAGATAATAGTTCATTTCATTTCAAAGGTGTTTACATATCAGGATATTGGATGTATCCTAATTCAGAATGCATAATTTTCTAAAGTCATGTCAGATTAGCTAGAAGTAAAAGAAAGGTGGATCAGAATGTTTTATTGGGTTTAAGTCAAGGGATTATGCTAGCTAATTAAGAACTTTAACTCTATTATTCTCAAATTATTGCTTAGTAAGATTTACAATATATTTAGAATTATTATCTTATTGAAAGATAATATTATTTTTATCTATTCTATATTACTTAATAGTTCCTAAAAAATCTTCCTTCAAAATATGATGATATAAATCACCATTCATATATTCATAAATTCAGCATATGTTATCAATCTCAAACATTCTTATACAATTTGACTGTTGGTTTAACATAATGATCATGTAATAGTTCATTGATTTTTTTCAATAATATTCTTTACTATCTGATCTATAAATCATGAATTTTAACTCATTTGATCAGATAACTTTATTTTAATCCTCTGCAGTCTATGATTGTATTTTTTAGCAAATTTCATATATAATTCTATACTTTATTTAAAGGTAAAGTTTTTACGCTTAACCTTTACACTCATTCTATTCTATATAAGATTTTGTTGATTATATATTCACTAACTTCAATTTGTATTTCTATTTTTAGTTTTTTTAGATTGCAATAGCATTAGTATATTTATCAGTTGTAATTAGTCTATGAACTTTTCATTCATATCAGCCAGTTAAAGATAACAGATATCTAGATTTAAAATAGTTTTTAAAGTTATTAGTTTTATCTTTATACTGCTTAGTTCTTATTACAATTGATTAGAAAATATTTTCTTTTTTTTAATATATAAATTAAATCATAGATTTTTATAAAATTACACAAGTCAGAAAATACCATAAAGTATCTTTTTAGATTGATCAAAATAATTGTATCACTATTTTTGTGAAGCTTCATAACAAAAAAAATATTTTTATTTCTTAAAAAAAATGAAGTAAATTGATAAATTATGAAGTGTGATAAATATATTAATTAAAGTTTTATAATACTATATCTTTTTAATCATAAGATATTAGTATTTTAAAATTTGTATTCAAATAATGTAATACTTTTAAATATCACTATAACTAGATTTTTTTCAGTTGATATAAAATTTATTAATAGCTTAGAATATTAATATATAATTTAAGAGATCTTAAATTTTAAAAAGTAAGGTATATTATAATTTTTTATAATTTTTAAATATAATTATCATTTTAAATATTTATATTGATTTTGAATTGAATATATTTTATTATAATATTTTTTTTAAATTATTAAATTATCAGATATATAAATAAAATAAATTTCTAATAATATTAATATTTACAATAAAAATATTTTATTAAATATAAAGATTATATTAATATAAATTTTACATTTTGAATATATCATAAATATATATAATTAAAGATATTATTATTAATTAGATATATTAATTATAATTTTTATTCCTTAAATGGTAATGATTTTTATTCAAATTTAATCATGATTTTTAATCAATTATTTAGAAATTTACAATTTTTTTTAATTTTTAGTTAAAATACATTGTAAAATTTATTATAAATCTATTAATTTTAAATAAAATTTCATTTTAATAATTAAAATATTAAAAATATATAAAATTTTCAACTTTAAATTTAAAATTTTTATAAATAAATAATATTTAAATATATAAATAAATGTTTTAAATATAAATTTTTATATTTTATAAAGTTTTTTTAATAATAATATTCAAAACTTTAATCTTAAATTAATGCAAAAAGTTTCTTATTAATATAAAATTTGAAAAACAAGTTATTGAAAAGATTAATATAATATTTTTATAATAAAATTTATTTTATTAAAAATTTTTTAAAAATCTTTTTTTAAACTATAATATATAAGTAAAAAATAAATTCATGATTTTTATGAATACATAATTTAAATTAATTATTATTAATATTATATTATTTTGGATTCATTTTATTAATTATTTTAGAAAATTATTTTTTTGAATTTAAAAATTCTATTTATCATATTTAAAGATTACTTAGAATTAATTTAGTATAAATATATAATTAGTTTAAAGTTAATTTAAGATCAAAAATTACTGTAAATCAGTGATATGTATTTTATGCTTCCAATGGTAAAAAATTTGATTGGAAGCTTCCAATTCAAATAAATTTATTAATTAATTGTGCTTCCAAACCTTCTAAAGATGCTTCCAAAAGAGCTTCCAATCTTTCAAGTGCATATTATTGCTGTAAATATATATTAATATTTTTAATGAAAATTTTGAATTTTAAGAAATCATGTAATTTTATTAATAACAATAATAAAAAAATGATTAGTTAATATTAAGCTTATAAGAACTGGTTAAAATATCTAATAATTAATTTATCTAATAAACTAATATTAAGAATTTGTTAATAATATTTATTTTATTAAAATTAATATTTATATTAAATATTTGATATAATATTAAAATCATTAAATTAAAAGTAATAATTTATTAAATTAGAATAAATTTTTCTTATAAAGTTATAATATTTTTTATTTTTTTAGTATATAAATCAAATTTTAAATAATTAGATTTATTATTATTAAAAAATCATCAAATAAATAAGAAATTTTATTTGAATAACTCAATATTATTTCTTTTTAAATTTAAAAATAATCTAATATAATATAACACTTTTTGATTCATAAAAACTAAGATTTAATATATATATATATATAATTAAAATATGTAATAATAAAGTTTAAATATTATAAACAATTATAAAAATTAATTAATAATATATATTTTTTTCTTTTAAAGATAACTTTACTAAGGAAATTATTAATAGGATTTTGTTATTAGCTAATATTTTAATAGTATAATTTAGAAATATATAAAAAAAATATATAATAAAACAAGATTAATAAAACAGAAAATAAATAATTAAAGTTTATAATTAAAAATATATTAATTATATTATAGAAAACTCAATATTTTTTCCATTAGTTTAACAAAGTAATAATTTCATAAAATTGATCAAAAAGTTAACGCATATCGTTTAACAAACAAGCACCTCTCTTTTATATATCATCAACATTTTTGAAAATTCTCATATTTGTAAACAAGTAAAACAAGTAAATCATTTATGAGGAAGAACCATCATCATAATAACTTTGATTGATGTAGCTGAAATAAAATAAAATTGCCATTATTCTTGGTGGATAAATCTCATCCAAAACAGAATAATTTCATTGAGCTGCAATCATACACACAACTAACTGAGTTCCTTTCTTCTTATATTTATACGTAATATTCATTCCATTTCTTTACCTCTTCTGCATTTTCTACTGTAAACTTTGATTTTAAACTGAACATACGGGAGTAACTTAAATACATCTTCAAACCACAAAATGATGCAACATCGCTTAAATTCTGGACCAATACTACAGTAATTACACCATTTAAATTTGCAAAGAAATTTGTTTTATATCGTGGTAATTAATTCATTAATAATAAATTCTTGGTGATCATCATTTTTTTAAATGTCGAAAGATTAGGTTTATTGGTTTTATAATAAACATAAACTTTAAATACCTGATTCTAATACATAAGACATTGAATCTTTCTCGAAATTGTGAAAGAAAAATAAAGATTTTGGCCAGAATTAAGTTTTTATCTCTGACCAAATTTAGTTTAGTAATGGCAAAATTCCCTTACGAAAATAAATATGCTTCGTTTTGATGATATATAGCACAATTAAATGAACTTGTATGTTATTTTGCCCCTGTCACCGCAAGTATACTTACTTTCAAAATTTATGTGCCCATTTTTAAGATCAGCGTTCAAAAAAAAAATGTGTTCAGGATTGAAAAATTCCTTTAGAAATTAATGAGTCCATTGAGTTTTTATTCTTATAATAGCGTACTAATGCACTTCCGAATTAAGAATTGAATAAAGAAAGAAGTAAATTTTATGGAAAGTCGAATTGATAGATGTAATTTAATTTCATTTCACGAAAAAATAAATAGTTCATAATTAATTAAAATAAATTAATTATGACGTTTGAATATAAAATGTGATCAGTCGACGTCGTTACTAATTTTCGCTTTAAAAAACATCAATTTATTATATAAGCTTCCGTATATGATTAGAATTAATCAACTTTTAAACAAGCAAAATTGATTAAAATCAATTTCTTTGGAATTGGAATTGTCATTTCATTAGAGTCGTCAAAATATTTAAAATCCATCATTATTTTGAAATCGACCGCATTGCAATGAATTGAAAAATGATACTGAGAATATCACTAATTATTACTACGACACGAAATCTATTTAGTAAAATTATCTGCATGACATCATAAATTGGTACAAAAAAGGTAAACTAGCTAGTCAATTTGCGATTTTTTGTGCTAATGTTACCAAACGCCATATATAAAATAAAAAAAGGAAGCTCCAACAGTTTTCACTTGAATTTATGGAGTACTTGCAGGAATTATCTAGTGATTTTGGCGATTTAATTAATGACAAAGAAGAATCTAATGTGATAATACAAATTGGAGAGGAACCAAATATAAGAGAATTTAAAGCCCATACCTTGGTATTGAGAAGCAGATCATTATATTTTCGTACCGCTTTGTCAAATAATTGGGCAAAGAAAGATGGTAATATTTATATTTTTAAGAAGCCAAATATTTCTCCCGAAATATTTGATATAATATTGAGGTAACAAAATTTATATAGTTTCTATTTTTTTTTTTTTATAAATAAAATATTACATGATTGAATTTTTTTTTATTCCTTTTCAAAAAAAAAAAAAAAAGTTTCATATATAGCGGAAAGATAACATTTAAGGGCAAAGATGGTTCCAAGGCTATTGCCTTATTGGTAGCATCAGATGAATTAGAACTTTTTAATTTATGTAAATACGTACAAACGTATTTGATTGAGCAAGAATCTGATTGGTTACTACAAAATCTCTTGACAATTCTCGAAGTAATTTCAAAACATCAAACTTTTACGATGTTAACTGAATATTTATTAGGTACAATATGCGGAAACCCTCAATTAATATTTGGAAGTCATGAGAAATTCTTGTCTCTGGATGAAAACATCTTGATACAACTATTGAAAAGGGATGACTTGGAAATGGATGAAATTGATATTTGGACTTATCTTATTAAATGGGGAATATCTAAAACAAATTACCTCGTTGAAGAAAATTTACCTAATTGGACAAAACAAGATTTCAAGGCTTTAGAGAAAGTATTACATAATTCCATTCCTTTAGTAAGATATTTTCAAATATCTTCGGAAGAATTATATGACAAAGTAAGAAATCCGTTCAAAAAAATCTTACCAAAAGAATTAAATGAAGATATAATAAGGTATTTCATGAAACCTGGATCAAAACCAACATTTTCTCAAGGAATTCTTACAGCAAGGGTTACCGTTATCGACTCAAACATAATTAAATCAACTCATGCGGCATTAATAAGTAGTTGGGTTGATAATAAGGATCATTATAATTGCAGGAATATTCCTTACGATTTTTATTTATTATTAAGAGCAAGCAGAGATGGTTTCGATTCTTCTACATTCCACTCTCGTTGTGATTATAGAATTTGTACTGTGGTTTTAATCAAGTTGAAAGGAAGTCAAGAGATTCTTGGAGGTTTTAATCCTTGTACTTGGCAACGATCTTATCTGGATGATCCTTGGACTCATCGTTCTTTATCCGACTATCAAAGCACGTCGAGTAGCTTCATTTTTTCTTTTAATATGAAGGGAGGTTTAGGTGATTATAAATTAAGTAAAGTTCAATTTCCAAGTAATGCTATTTATTGTTCCACCTCAAATGGTCCTTGTTTTGGAAATGGCGATTTGTGGATGACAGGAAATTTTGGAAGTTCAAAAAGAACTTCTTATAAAGAGGTCATAACCGAATCTTTTAATTTTTTTGCGGATGATTATGAAGTTTTTCAATTGGTAAAAAAATGAAATTAATTTTGCGCGCGAAAAAAAGAAGTTTTTTATTTATTTATATATTTTACCTGAAATTCGGTTGGGTAGGGAAAACAAAATTTTTTATTGTTGATCGTCTTTTAAAAAAAAGAATCTCGTAAAGATCACAAACGTTGAAGAATTTCTATAAAATGTATCCCATTTCCAATTAGTTCCACACATCATGATAGTATATTTTCTTTCGCTCATACGTAAAGGAGGTTTCTTGTATTTTGGTAAGACGTATAACCTACTTTCTCTCCAAATGGCTTGACATATTGGCCAAATTGAAGAATTTTTATTATTTAAATATAATATTTCACTAAACTCTTTACATACTAATGCCAATGCGGCTAAATCTTTTGGTGCCAAATATTTACATATATGTGGAAGTATTTCAATCGGTATCATGGAAAAGGGATGATGATGATTTGTTTTAGTTGAAATAGTATGGTTATTTGTTGAGAGAATTGTTGAAGGATAAAGAAATGTGTTTATTGAATAAATGTGGTTAAAAGTTGGGAGAATCGTTGCCGACGATTTTTCTAGATAAATATTTTTATTTGAAACTTTAATTTTATTAACTTTGTTTAAAGTCATCTTGAAAATTGTTTTGATTTTTTTATACTAAAATTTAAAACAGTTTAAATTTGTTTTTCGTGGCTTTGAACGTGGCACAGAATAATCATTGTCAAGATGTAATATGACGCACGTGTTTATAATCTACTCCAGATCCATTGACCTTTTGGTTAGGAGGGTAATTAACAAGTGTTGATCGTTTAGGTTGCGTCAGTTTAGAATTTCTATTAATGTAACATCAAAAAAAAATTTGCGTGGTAACAATAGATTATCGAATGACATTCTTTTAGGTAAAGACAGATTGTGTAACATTATGAACATGATGAATATCGTATGACATTGTTGTATAAATAGTATAAATTCTTTCTTTTTTCGGCTGCTTCCTTCTCTTTTTAAGTTTTTTTTATTTTATTTTTTTTTAAAAAAAACAAACTTTATTTTAATGATTATCTAATTCTGTATTATGCCACCATTTACTACAGTTTCAGAAGGTATTCCCTTACCTAGCAAAGAAAAAGATAATCCAGATAATCGAAATCCTTTATTTCTCGGAGATTGGAAGAAGTCAATTCCATATGTTGATGAAGACATAGCGATAGATGATTTAGATGAACCCCATATGAAAAGAAAGGTTTTAATTTTAAAAAAATATCCAGAAATCGAAAATTTATATGGATATGATGAATCAACCATTATAATAGTTTTATTGTCATCGGCGGCACAGTTTGTTGCGGCCTATGTTTTTGGTAAAATTTTGACGGACTGGAATTTATTTATGTTAATATATTGTTTCTTTATTGGAGCTTCTTTTACTCAACTTTATGGTGTGATCATTCATGAAGCGACTCATTGTCTAGCTGCCCCAACATTACTTCAAAATCGTATCATAGCACTTTTGGCAAATGCTGCACTTCCTTTTCCAATCGCAATGTCATTTCGTCGTTATCATTTGGAACATCATACTTTTCAAGGTGTATTAGGACTTGACCCTGATTTACCCTTGGAATGGGAATCAAAATTAATCCGTGGAAATTCCTTTTTAAAATTCATTTGGTTAATGGTTTATCCTGTGTTGTATGTTATTCGAGGTGTGGTAATGGGGAAAGAACCTAGTCTTTGGGAACTCGTAAATTGGGTTTTTAATATTACTGTTAATTATTTGGTTTACCAGTTTTGTGGTCTTAGAGGTTTATTATATCTATTTTTAAGTTTATGGTTGGGTTACAGTTTACATCCTGCAGCTGCTCATTTTATTCAAGAACATTATACTTTTGATGATGGTCAAGAAACTTATTCGTATTATGGAATTTTAAACCTGTTCTTTATGAATATCGGTTATCATAACGAACATCATGATTTTTCAAAGGTAAGAATCTTACCCCCTTTTTTAAAAAATTGGCGAGGATTATTTATATTTCATCTCGGATCTAACTCAGTTTTTTTTTATCTATTTAGGTACCATGGTCAAAGTTACCACAAATTCGTAGTATCGCTCCAGAATTTTATGATAATTTGTCTTATCATACTTCTTGGTTCATGGTTCATTGGAACTTTATTTTTCATAAACAATATGGTCCCCAATCTCGTGTCGGTAGAACCGTTGAGGATCATAAAAAAGGAAGGAAGATGATGAAAAATTTAAAAAATGAGGAATAATGTATGCCTGGAATAATAATAATTGTAATTTGCTAATGATTAATGAAAAGTACTGCGGCATTCACGTGATATGACACGTCTAATAAAAAATAGACCTCATTATTTATTATCGTTATTTTAGTATGTAGATTACAGTATATCGTATTTATTTAATTTATTTATTAAAATACCAAAAAGAACGATTTGCATCGATCAATCAATTTTGGATAGGATCTTTTTTCAATATAATGTGAAATAAATCTGTGAAACAACATTAAATTCTGATCTAATACTGAATCTTCTATTTTGTATCGATGAAAAATTTATATGAAGTAAAAAAAGAAATAATATTTGTCTTTTATACTCGTAGCATAAATTTGAATTTAATTTTTATTTTTAAAATACGTTATATGTATTACAATCAAATCTATTAAGTTTGCGGCAGTTTCGATATTTGGAAAGGGTCTCGACATTTCATATGCAAGATACAATTTAAAACATAAATCATTCAAAAATCAAATAACAGGGTGAATTAAGAAAACTTGTGGTGTAGATTATTTATTGAAAAAAATTTTCTTGACATAAAAACGAAATAAAACGATCATTTTCGTTTAATGATACGTTCAAAGAACTGTAATCATCTATTATAAAAATTTATAATGATTTCGGATAAAACGAGGAATTTTTTAATTAAAAATGTTTTAACCAACCATATTCTTAAAAAGCATAAAAATTACCTTTGAACTTCATGTTGTGACCAATCACTAACATTGTTTTCGAGGGCTTAGAGAGAAAAAAAGTTTATGTTTTAATTAATTAATCGATAAACAATGACTCAATAAATTATAATTACCCTACACCAAGATAATGATTTTTAGGTAACAAATTTGTTGTTAAGAAGAAGATTTACAAAACTCAAGAGCATTTTGAGTGACCTTTTATAATGAATTTTTGAGAATCAAATTCCAGATTTTACCCGCATGATAAACCTTCGATTATTTTATTTTTACCCTACAAACCTTGATAAAAAAAATTTGGGGGAAAGTATGTGAGATAAGAGATTGGGATTTCTTAATATGAGATAATTTGAGAAAGTTTCATCAATTATTCTCTATTCGGTTATATTTAAACATGTGGAAATAAAAAATTGGCGTTCTTAAAAAAAAAAGCCTCAATCATATGAATATAATTTTTTTTTTTTTTAAAAAAAAAAAATTTGTTAAAGATAGGTTAAGCTATTGTTTCTATTTACGATAGTTTCATCATTCTATATTTATAAACGAATGTAAAGTAGCAGAAGGATTATTAATTATGTAATAATTTAATAAAAATTAAAACTACGTCGGCGTTCTGTACATCGGCGAAATTACTACGGCTATTAGAAAATATCTGTTTAAGGGATTTTCTATATTATTAAAGATATCATTAAAAAGAACTTGTCACCTGCATCAATCCGTCCTTTTTATATATTGATTTCTGAAGGGACAACTCACCCAGAGGACAAGTTGACGAGATCATTTTGGCCAGAGGTGAATTCGTCCCGTGATCAATTTGGCCTATGCTGATCTTTAAATCAATCTCAGACAGTTTATCAAAAGACCTTTGTATGAAACTGTAGTAAATTGGGTTAATAATTCATAGAATGCCATTAATATTAATTTAATTCAAAGGTCTTTTAAATATTGTATTATCTTTAATAAATGTGATGGAACTGATGATAAATTAATCTTTGATTATAATCATCTTGTACAATAATCACGTGATTTAGCGATCCATTCTACTTTTTCATTAAATTGGTCTCCTGAGTGTGCTTTATCTTTAGTCAAAGTCACTGGGCATTGATAACTTGGAAAAGACTATGCCAGATATAAACATTGACAATTTTTTAGAAATCGCTAACTTGGGGTCACTAATACTAACACTTCTTAAATTTTAATAAATAAAATAATTAATACATCACATGCATAATGATTAACTAGTGTAACAATAGAATAAATCACATTCTTTTATTGGATTTATTAGAGTAATGAGAATTCTTATAATACATAAAATCAATAAATTATCTTTAGAATTTTTGCAATAGTATTATTATTTTCATTATTAACAAAAGAAAATTTTTTTATTTGCTAATAATGAAAATTATTATATATATTTAATATAAATTAATGATATAAAGATCTTTAAATAGTAATAATTTAAATGTTTTATATTTGATTAATTAATTAAATAATATAAATTTAATTAAAATTAACAAAATTTATAATACACAAAATAATTTAAATGCATTTTCTTGAAAGCTAAATAATATGTTCATATGGATAAATTTTCTTAAACCTGTAAATACAACATAATAAAAGGAAGAAGAAATTAGAGAAAAATATTAAAAAAAGAAAAAAAATGAATATTTAATAATAAAATATAAAAATACCATTATAAACTATGGGTTTTTGATTTCTTAAAGAAAAGTAAATAAAAGAGATCAATACCTTAAAGTAAACTTTTACATTTAAGGCAAACACTTCTGAAAGGCAAACATAAAATGCTTCTGTATTCAAATATTAAACTATTGTTTTTAGTTTAATGATATTAGAATATGCTTTTTCTTTTAAAACTAACCCTTTTACCATATTATTATATACAGTAAGTTAATTAATAAAGGAATATATAACATAATTAAATAAATAAAAACAAAGTGAAATAAACATTATTCTTTTATAAAATGACCTTTTAACATCTGTTTAAAAATTATTAAAAAGAAAACATAATAATAAAAAATAAAAATGATACATTTATTAATAATAGATATCAATTACTAAACTAAACATCTGATCTGCATAAAGATGAATATTAAGAATTCATTATCACTAAAATACCTACCTAATATACATTAGTCAAAATTATTTTTTTCAGCATTAATATCTTTCGGTAAATATTCAGCTAATTCAGTCATGTGATTTGGCAAATATTTGGCTCAAATTATAAAAATCAACAGTCATTTATTACACATACATAATTTAGCATTATTTTAGCATTAGACCTTTGATAAATATTCAGTCAATTTGATCATATGAGGCCTTTGCAATAGAAAGGAGGGAAACTACTGGGAAAAATTAATTTTACTTTTATATATCAAATATGATTGTTAGACTGAAATATGTTCAAATTTAGCATTAACTCACTTTTGATTTTTCCAGCAGTTCCCCCTTTCTATTGCAAAGACCCATGTGATTCAGAAAAAACTTAGCATAAGTTACAAAAATTGATAGTAATTTATTATATGGGCCTTTGCAATAGAAAGGGGGGAAACTGCTGGGAAAAATTAATTTTACTTTTATATGCCAAATATGATTTTTAGGCTGAAATATGTTCAAATTT